TCCAGCCCCAAAGGTATTAGCCTCACTTGTCTGTGGTTCTTCCGCTTTTACTCCATCTCAATCACCGTTCGGAACCGTTCTTAACCACTTCCAGCTCTGTTCCACTTAACTAAGTTGCAATTTGATATCTAGAATCCGGAAGCCAGAAAACACACGGCAGGTGATAAATCTATACATTCTATAAATCAGGCCCAAAGAGCTTTGGTTCTATGTCATTTACTGATTAGGCAATCATTGCCTCCCACTCCAATTCTCAAGTGTCTGCTTTACATAATGATAGAGTATGGTTGGTGGGATCAGGGAAGTTTGGCTTTAATTGTATGCTTTACCATTTAATGAACAAGGAATAGCTCTAAATTTTGTTCAATAAAACTAGTAACAAAATATCTATGCTACATGGAGTACATAAAATGAGCTTATTCCTGTGAGTCAATTACACAGTGCCTGATACATAGCGAGCAGTTGGAAGTGGTATTTATTATTATTACTTATTATATGAACTACTGTTACTTTTATAAGGGAGAAATGCAATTTTTTAAAATGAAATCTACTTATGTCTAAAAGACATGAACCTGTTGCCCAAAATATGAAATTAAAATTAGTCATAATTTATGTAGGCTAAAAACTGTTTTCCATAATAAAGTATTTAAAATAAAATTGGATAATTATAAAATCTATAAAATTTTTCAGAATTCAGTATGTACGGGTCATCTGTAAACTATTCCTGATAATGAACTATACTATGGAGTATTGAGTTGGGTGTTTTTAATAATCCTGCTTTTTTTGCAGGGGGCGGGGGGATTGAGACAGAGTCTCTCTATAACCCCAGGTGGCTTGGAACTTGCTATGCAGACCAGGATAGCCTCAATTTCACAGAGCTCTGCCTGCCTCTGTTTCCCAAGTGCTGGGATTAAAGGTATGTGCCTGGCTGTGCATAGTCTTTTATAATAACTCAAAGAAAATCAGTATATTAAAAAAACTAGCAAGCTGAGCGTCAGAATGCAATGGACACAAAAAGTAGACTGCCCTGGGAGACAATGATCACCTAGCAATGAGAGTTACAGTAAATGCCTTAGAAAGGGCCTTCGGGCAACAGCACAGTCTGTGATGCATATATTAGGCACACCAGGAATGTTTTAAGGATTTTCATTCCTTATCAAGCCAGAACAGAACAATTTCTTAATACTTTATTTACTTTCCTCATAAATGTGACAAGGGGCAAATTTAAAGAAAGAAGGGTTTACTTTGGCTCATGGTTTGAGGGAACAGCCCATCCAGGCAGAGAAGGCATGGTGGCCAGCGGCTTCATAGTGTTGGGATTGAGTTTGGAGGATTAAGAAGCAGAGAGGACAATAGACTGGGTCAGGCTCTAATCCTCAAGGCCTCACCCAAAAATCTACATCTTCCAGATAGGCCCCACCCCAAAGTTTCCATGACTCCTCAAAGCAGTGCCACCAGTGGAAGACCAAATGTTCAAATACACAAGCCTGTGGAGGGCATTTTACTTCTGAGCCATCACAACAATCTAGCAAACAAACAAAAACCTGGAAAGTTCATCCAAGTAAGGAGGAAGACAGAAAAAAAAGTAAATTCCAACAAATTATAAATGTGTTTGATTTCTTAGAAGATGGCTTCTTCCAGGTATGTTTGTGTCCTCTTTTGTGATTGCAATGTAAAGACCAAATGTCCTAGCACTTTCATAGCAGAAAGTCTGTTCCACAGTCAATTGCCACCTATTTGAGCAGCAGATAGTGCCTTCAATTAACCATTCGGCATTTATAATGATCTGAGAGAGAGAGTTGTAAACATGGGAATCAACTAGTTCTGCTGATGTGTCTCATTCAAAGAGCAAAACAGATGCCTTCCAAAAGGGAAGCAGTCACCTCGAAATAACTGTTTGAGATGGGCTGGGGAGATGGCTCAAGGGATAAAGGTGCTCGCTGCCAAGCTTAACGACCTGAGTTCACACCCCAGGATGCACACAGTGGAAGGAGAAAAGCGACTCCCATAAGTTGTCCTCTGACCTCCACACTCAGATCATGGCACGCTCATACACACTAAAATAAATGAATGCTGTTTTTTAAAGAGGAAAAAAATCATTAGCGATATCACTACTGACTGTCACAATCTTCCAAATCTCCAAAAACAGTGACAGAGGAGAGTTAAACATACGTAAAGCATTTGGTCATTCACTGTTTTTCAAAAGAACTATTTTGATTGAAATATTTATCATATAAAAGGTTTTAGGAGCTAATATTTCTCATTTCAAGAGTAACCTTCCCCTTCAAATTTGTATATACGACCACAGTACATTTAACTAGTTTAATGAAATTTAATTCTTATTTTAAATCTTAAGAGGAGAAAAACCTCTCAATGAAATTGTGAGGAGACAGAAAAGTCAAGACCCAATTTGTAGGAAAACTTCTAAGCATGATGTGTTATTACAAGGACCAGCCAGTCAAGTCAAGCTCATTAAGAATAGTATATACTGCTGCTTTGGTAAAATATGAGTTTTTTTCTCATTACCGCATAATGAAATTATGTCTCACATTTCAAAATCCTTAAAATAAAATGACTCATCGTGTTCATAAATATGAAACTTATACTCAAGCCATGGTATTGAAAAGGTATATTATATTTAAGATTAAATGGTAAAACTGGAATTTTTAATTGCCAAGAATTTTATTTAATTTTTATTTTGTTTTGTTTTTTCTGGGGCTTTTTATTGACATAGAGTCTCCCTGTAATCTAGCTGTCCTGGAACTCTATGCAGTTCCAGGCTGGCCTCGATCTCACTGAGATCTGCCTGCTTCTGCCTCTGGAATGCTGTCATTAAAGGCGTGTGCCACCATGCCTAGCTAATTGCCAAGAGTTTTACATGGCAAATTTGTTTATTCAGTCATGCAATAATAAAACAGAAATATTGTACTCACAGAAATGGTAGCAGAGAGCATAACATATTATTTTAAAACAAGAAAACAATGGGATAGAATTTAAGAACCTTGTAGGGCTCAGCAGTTAAGAATGTGTACTGCTCTTGCAGAAGACCAGGTTTGATTCTCAGTACCTGCATCCGGTGGCTCCCAACTACCTGTAACTCCAGTTCCAGGGGATACAGTGACCTCTTCTGGCCTCACTGGCCACCTGCATGAACTTGTACTTAACACACACAGACACACAGACACAGACACAGACACACAGACACACACATACACACACAAGTAAACAAATAAATCTTTAAAAAAATATTTTTTTAAAGTGCCTTACAGAAAGCTTCTAATTTCTCATACTACTCTGCCATGGCTAGTAGGGTTAATACATGGACTTTCTGTGGTTAAAAAAACCTTGCTTCCCTGAGCATTACACACATTCACTGCCTATGGTAGATATTGGTATTAACATTGCTTAACATAATTAATTACTTGAGCAAGTACTTCAGTTCATCTAACACCTTTTTCTAAATGCTTTAAGACATATGAAAAGTTGGGGCTGGAGAGATGGCTCAGTGGTTAAGAGCACTGGCTGCTTTTGTAGAGGATCCAGGTTCAGTTCCCAGCGCCCACAAGGCAGCTAACAACTGTCTGTAATTCCAGTTCCAGAGGATCTGAAACCCTCTTCTGGCCTTAGCAGGCACTACACAGCACAGGTGCACGTATATAGATGCAGGCAATACACTCATTCACATGAAATAAAAGTAACAAAATATTTTAAGAAGACATAAGAAAAGCAAATAATTACATATATTTAAGGATGATATTTTTGGTAGTCAATTATCCAAATATGTATCTAGCCATTAAATTAGAACACTATTTGTTTCATATGTAAAAGTAGTTTAAAGTCATGATTCTAGCTTCTTAAGTATAAACTCCAATACTTTCATGAGACTTCCGAACTTCAAATCGACTTTAAAAAAATTCTAGCTGGAGGGTGAATCACTAATATATTCTGAAATACAGCAAAAAAAAAGTATATCAAAGACTGAGTGTGGTATAAAAGCAACGATTTTGTACACCATATTAACAAATTGCTTCTTTACTCAAAATCTCAAATATAAGTGATAGTAACCATGTGCACGTAAAAGACCTGAAAAAATTGGCATCTGAGGGAAATTATTATTTAACCTAGAGGGAAAATGTTGCTGTTGGATTCCTGCCTGGGGCACAAATTATGGTCTTGCATTAATAAAGCTTTTTGATTCCTTGGCTTTTAGGGACACACTGGAAACTTTTGTCTTCCATGTAGAAATTTCAGATATGCCCTAAAGTTTGAGAGGACAACTAACAAAATAAAACTCATCTTGGATGGTAGAATATACTAATTTGACCATTATATAAATAGAACAAATCTGATTTATTTATTGGGCAACTGCTACCTTCTGAACCATCCAACTCAAATTAAATTCAACTCTGTGGCAAACAATTCATTTTCTCATTAGGCAATCACTGTTCCTTTCAATAAGGCAATTCCCACTTAGCCTGTGGCCACAGCAGTCATCTTTAAAACGTGGTTTCCACCCCGTTTCATGTAAAAGGATATTATTTGCTTAGCAGGTGTTTTAAAGAAATCTGCAATACAGATACATGTCAAGGAGAATATGAGTTCTTAGAAAGCCTCATCTAATTAATGGTGCCCTCCCCTCTGATAACCATTGATCAAAAAACCTGAAATTTAAATGGAAAAATGAACCTGCAAAGATAAAGAGAAAATTCTGCAACATTTTTCAGATTCTTCATTCTTATTTCCAGAAAGGGAAGGAATTAGAGAAAACATAATATTACTGTACGATGGAGGACTGAAAAATGTTTGTACTTTTTAAGTCTTTCATGATATTGAGTAATGCTGACCAAAATGTAGTAAGACCAATGTATTTATTAGTTATGCAAATTAAACTGGGAAAATCCATAAGAATATATACAGCCTTTATCATTAGTAAACCAACCAGTAAACCGTAGTATAAGACAAAAGGACTATTACTTGATATATGCAGTTTAATAAAAGCATTTTAGTAAGAAAATCTATCACTTTTATTAAAAAGCTTCTATTTTAAAGATTACTCAACAGACACATTTTCAATATTATCAATGAATGTCTTTAGAATTGCACGCAGAAGCCACTGAGTTTTCTTCAGAGGGAATACTGCCTTCAATCATCTTTTTTATCTGAGGTACTCTCTTCATGATTTTCAGGACAGACTTTATTACTTGCAACAGAGGGAGCTGTCTGGACTTCATTTGGTAATGAAAACACATGACATGTCTGGAGGTCCAAGTATGTTGTAAATATCTTGGCATATTCTGGGTGCTTTAGGGCAAAACTTTTGAATTGCTCTAGAAGAGAGGGAAAAATCAATAATTTAGGGTGATTCTTCTTTTAGCATGACAGATTAACTAAAGACCTTAGTCATGTAATTATTGCAAAATCCTCTTAGTCAACTCAAAAGAATTGTTAGTGAGACTATAAATTGTGCAACCGCTTTGTGAGATTTGTATTCTCCATGACTCATAAATTCTATTCTGAGCTGCACAAACTATAGAAATTGTGCGTTGCATTCTGGGAGACATACATGGGGATGTCACAGCAACATTAGTCTAACAGGGAAAAAAGGAAAACAGTTGAGATGTCGATCAAGTGTAGCAGTGGATAACTTGGGAGCATATTCTTGGAGCATGGCTATAGGACAGTGAAAGGGAAAGAACAGCTACTTGACAAGCATGTGAACTGTAAAACTACATGATGCTGAATGAAAAGACAAGCTTCAAGAGGACACATATTGGAAGAGGCCATTTACATAAACTTCAAAAACACAGATGTTAAAATACGTCAAAATGCATACTTTTCTGGTAAAGTGGTGAAAGAATGCAAGGCAGAGAGTCCTTTAAGAGTGAGAAAGGGGCTGTGGCTGGCAAGAGCCACGGGGTCCATTTCTTCACCTGAATGGCTGTTACACAGTTGTACACTTCATAAAATTTCCGTGTGCTCTACAGTTATACCACTACAATCTCTGCATTCCAATTTCTATGTTTTTTTAAAAATCTCTTACCCAGGACGGTCTATGGCTGGCTTTTTAAACTATTTTAGTCCTTAACTCTAATATAGAAAGAGGCAGTCTTGAAAAGCAGACTCCAAACTTACGATCAATAATGGCTCAGAAAGTGTATTTATTAATCTTATTGCAAGACCCCTGAGCCCTGGCTCTTTTTATCTCACTGTGTTAGATCTGGGAGCTGAGACAGAGAGCCAGAGGTATAAAAGGCTTATGAAGCCAGCCATGAGGATTTGAATCTCAAATCTCCAATAAGCTACAGTTTTTTGTGGTTTTTTGGGTTTTTTTTTTTTTACCTGCTGGAGAAAGGGCTCGGCAGTTAAGATCACTTGCCAATCTTCCAGAGAATTTGAGTTCAGTTCCCAGCACCCTATTAGGCAGCTGGCAATGGCCTATAACTCCAGCTCCAGGGTATCTGACACCCTCTTCTGGTCTTTGAGGGTACCCGCACATACGTGGCATACACTCACACAAATGTATACACATATACATAAATGAAAAATCAGTCTTGAGCCAGGCATGCTGGTGCATACCTTTAATATGAGCATTTGGGAGGCAGAGACAGGCGGAGCTCTGTGAGTTCCAGGCCAGCCTGGTCTATATAGTGAGTTCCAGGCCAGCTGGGGCTACAGGGAGACCTTGTCTCAAAAAGACCAAAAAGAAAAACCAAAACTTGTCTAACCTCTTAAGGCTATTTCCATGATGGAGAAGAGTCCAAAATGACTTCTAAGATAGGTAAGTGCACACAGAGGTGATTTACTAAAACTAAGGCTATAATTCTGACATTTGTGCTTTGTTCAAAAGACTGAGACCCTTGGTTGGGATAGCGGTGGCATTAAACAGTATCTCATTTCTAGATGTGTTGAGAACTGATGATAAGGGGATCTGGGCATTAAGAACAATAGAGAACCAACCATGATATTCTTGCCACGTACCCACATTTATTTTTTAAATATTACATTCCTCAAATATTCTTTAAAGATCAGATCTACACAGTATGAGGGGAGGGGAGAGAGTCTATGCACACTGAAAAGAAAAAGGTTGAGCTAAAAAAAAAAAAAAAATCAGGCTCATGCCCCAGTAGATGGTTCTTTCTTTTTAATTGAATTTTTAGTGTATTTCACACTGAATAGCTCAAACAATCATCTTTATACCACCCCCACCCTGACTGGAGCCCATATACCCTGTCATCCCTGTTAAGGCCCACTGGGTTGTCAGCGTCCCCAGTTCCCCAGTGCAAGTCCATCCACTGAGTGTAGTCAGTCTATCTAGAATCCCTTGTTTTAGGAAGATCAGCTCTTCTTCATCTAGAAGCAGTCAGTTGCCAACATTCCTTCAGATAACATTGAGGTCTGCTCAGAGGGTTATTTTTTGTTTTAAATAACATAAAGTTGTAAAGATGTGTTGGGTGGCTTAGAGAGAGTTGGAAGTGGAGAGTGAGGAGTGGATATGATCAAGATACATTGTAAATATGTATGAAATTACCAAATAAATAAAAAAGTACACTGTTTTTTAAAATCTCCCCAACTATGAAACAGACTTCCCTAACATATTTCTTAAGAAGAAACTAAAAGTATGATTACCTACTAATCATTTTTAATATTAGCTTTTAATGATATAATTTTTCATAATTTGTTAGTTCTGGGGCTAGAGAGATGCCTTAGCAGTTAAGAGTTCTGGCTCACTTGCAGAGGACCTGGGTTCACTTCCCAGTACCCACATGGTGGTTCATAACCACACCTGTACCTCCAGGTCCAGGGGATCTGACATGCTCTGACCTCCCCAGGCTCCTGAATACTTGTGGTACATATAAACTCACAGGAGTAAACAAACATATACATAAATAAAAAATAGATCTTTTGAAAAAAATTGGTGGTTCAGAGTAACACAGAGGGTGTTAATTATGAAAGCAAAATGATCAGAGAAAATATAGAACACATGAGTTTATAAAGATTTGTCTGTACATGTATTTCCCCATTTTATCCTACTTTCTTTTCTTTTTTAATGAAATCAACAGATTCCTGCCCTATGCACTAAATTATTGAAAAGGGACTATAGGAAAGCCAAAATGCCAGGAATTAAAGACAGAGTAAGAGAAGTGTGTGATCTACTTTCCCCATCCCATGAAAATTAGCAAGCTGAAACCCTTTGAACATCATCAGGGAAATGCAATTAAGTAATTACAGAATATTCTTCCAGCCAGACAGGAAAGCTTGGGGAAGATAAGCCAGCCTGACATCCATGACCACATCAAAGCTAAGCAGGAAATGATCACCTAGGCCTTTCCACAGAGGTATGCCTGTTAATGTCTACACTGGGAAATACAGGGAAAGTGATTCACCACCCGTTTTGATGGACAGACTTGAACCATCAGGACAAAGGAGTAGCGAGTGAATGGGCCTGTCCCTATGCCACAGGTCTTTCTTTGTGATGGTCACTCCCTCACAGGGGTCGCTATTAGAATGGTATGAGACAAAGGACATATATGTTCACTTAAACTGCTATGTCAACTGTCAGAACATCAACTGTCAGAACATTGTTTAACTATAACTACTGGGGGTACCTTGGTCCATACCCCTCTACTGAAGATAAAGCCTATTCTGATTAACTTGCTCAGGGCTGTCTAGCCACACCCACAGCAAATAGGACAGGCAATGCCGTATAGAGTCAATGGTGTAGGCTCTCAGGCCAAATGCTTAGATTTTGCATTCTGGCTCTGACATCCTTCAGCTTAACGGTCTTAAGAAAGTTACTTAAATTATTTGTACTCTGTCAAACACAGATTTGAGAAAAAACAAAAACAAAACAGGATACTGATTAAATAGGCTTGCAGTAAAGATTAAATGAGTTTATATACACAAAACATAAGGAAAGGTACCTAGCATCTAAGTCTTCAATAATTAATGGCTACTCTTCCTACTACAATATTGCTGTTATTATTATCATCATCATTATTACTATTACTAATATAATTAGCTAAGGGAAGCACTCTCATCTGACTCTTGAATTCGCAGTCTAGAGGCTCTCCTTAATAAACCAGAGGCCAAACCGCTTACTCACCATAGGAAATAGAGTCCCCTTGGGCAATTTCCTTGAATAGACCAGAAACATCAAGGTCAGGTACTCCAAGAGAAGCCTGTAGAATGGTGGAAAACTCTTCCTCTGTTATGTAGCCATCCTCATCGACATCAAAGAGCTTCAAGGAAAAAAAGCATAAAGGAGTTAGGGCTTTAAAAGCACTATGGTATTGAATGTATTGAATCATCTTCTGGCAGGGAATTCTCCAACAATGCAAACAGTTATTGTACAAGAAGAACACACACACACACATACATACAGACAGACACAATGCACATATTACATACATATAAATAAATACACACAAAATGCACATATTATATGCATATATATAGAGAGAGATGCTACTCTTATAAGATTTATAGATCTACAGTTTAATGGTGGAAAGAGACAGATTTATGGGCCATATCAACAGTATATACTGAGACATGGGAGCTCTGGGGGTATATGATGAATCTTGCCCAAAGAAGTACACAAGGCTTTCCAGAAAAGCTGATATGACAGCTGGGTCTTAGAACATGAAGAGATGTTCCCAGAAGATATAAGGAATGGTAGGTGAGTGCCTGAGCTCAAGTCCAGAGACTGAGGGGTAAGCAAGAATTCGTGGTGGATGCAAAAGGCCCAACCTAATCCTGCAGGATGGTGCCGGAAGGGGAAGTGGTGTGATCATTTGTAATCTGAAGGAGGTCTCTGAAGCAGAAGGTGTAGGATAGAGTAGGAGATTGCTAAGGCTACAAGCAAGAAAACTAAGTCTGTGCTGGACAAGCAGGAAGGATAGGAAGGGACAGAATTCATAAGCAGCAAAGTTAGGATTTGTGGAAGAGGTTCATAGTAACGAGAAGCCAAAGATAGGACTGAAGTTTCCCAGCTTGGGAAATGAGACGAAAGCTGCAAGCAAGGGAAACCAGTGAGAATAACGGCTACCAAATGGGATCAAGAGTTGGGCCTGGATAAGGGAGATTTGAGTCGGGTGCCAAGAGTAAGAGGAAAAATTCAGGTGTCAGCTCAGGAGATTGATGAGGCCTCAGGTAGGAATTCAGGTAAGAACTGAAACCATGGGTATATCAAGTTTATCAATAAGGAAGATCCAAAATAAAGGCAAAATCCTGGAACAGCCACCGTTGAGATGTGTGAAGGAAAGAGGGACTGACGCCTTAGAAGAAGCAGACACACCAGAGGATAGGAAAGAAGTTAACAGGGTTTTACTGTCTGAGGATGAGACTTGACAGTGGTTAACAGGGAACAGAGTGAAATGTCACGGAAAGACCAAGCAAGAGACAAAAATATCTGCTGGGTTTGGTAATTAGGAGATTTTGAAACTTCCAGTTGCAGGGAATTGGAAGGGAAGGTGGTAATGAGGATCCAGGTGAGAAGCAATGATGACTGGGGTGGGTACTTCCAAGAAGCTACGGGATAAGGACCAGGAGATGGCAAGGTAAAAGCCAAGCACAAAGGGTAATCGTTTATAGGACAGAAAGCGGTGGATTGGGATAGGTTGGAAGGGTTGACCAGGCTCCAGTGGTCAAAATGTCCCCATGCTGAGGGACATGAGGGGACACAAATCAGACTCTACAGACTGTATTGTATATACAGTGGAGTACACTGAATAGGGTGGGGCAGGGGGGCAGTGGGAGGGGTGCAGATGAGGAGAGGATCTAAATACCATTAAATTATATTGCTTGAAAATCACAAAAATTCAACAAAAAATTTTCAAAAGTGAAGATGGATAATAAATATTACATAATCAAAATCCTCTTGGACACAAAGAATTTTTAATGGAATTAGCACTTATTCATTACGAGCACTGATCAAAGGTATTCAATTTCCTTTACATATATTAATGCTTAATACTCTGGATAATATTTTACAACAGGTTCCACTGTCAGCCTTCTCTTAGAGATAGGACAGCTGAGGCCTTTGGAAATTAGGTAATCTTTCCCTAGGTCATACAACTTGTAATAGGTAGAGCTAGCATTTAAATTCAGGCAAGTAATACCTCAAGCTCCAGTTGGTATCTCTGCATTAGACCAAATATAAGACCAAAAGACACTGAAAAATAGGCACTAGTAAGGTCTGATAATCATGGAAAGAAATATAAGCAAATATTAAATGTGTTCTCATTGTTCCTGTGAGTGAGAGGGTAAAAAAGCTGGAATTTGATACCCCAGATGGGAACACAGGCTGCTGGGCCGTTTCTTGTTGAACTTTCCATGGGGGAGAAGATGGCTGAAAAGTGAGAAGTGATGTGACATGATCTCACAAACTGTGGACCACAAGCTCCTTATTCATGGTGGACTTCAAACAGTAACTTCCAGGATCCAGTGGCTCCTACCTCTCCACAGGGTCCAACCTTCCTCCAACCTTCCATTCCTGAACAGTTCTCTCCAACTCATCTCAACAGTCTAAATTCTTGGCACGATTAGTAATCTCATTTCTGTATCATCTCTTCACAGTCCATCCTGGCCCTCACTTCTTCTATACTGGTCCTTTGCTACAACCACCCCAGATCCTTCCCATCATGAAACTCCTTGATTTCCCTCCCTTAGTAATTACTCCCAATAGGCTTTGCTACCCAGTTCACAGAACTATGATAAGTCCCACAACCTGGACTTTGGTAGGAAAGCTTGAATCCTAGTTTCCTTAGAGGAATGATATTTCCCCACTGTGTAGAATACTGCGGGACTCCTAATTAGAACATCCTGTCTTCCTCCTATCAAGCACAAGACTCTTCCGATCTTCCTGGAATGTGAATTATGAACTGTTTACTTACTTTAACTGTAGGTCTCAAGGAAAGGTACAGGGAAGTTCCTGTAGCTGGAAGCTTTGGGCTTGCCTTGTTCCATGTATTCACCTTAGCCTCTTTCCCAGTCTTAACAACCAATTCCAGTGTAGTACCAGTCTTCCAGAGTTGATCCGACTGCCTACTACTGGAAATCTCTAATAATCTAGCTACGTAGGCCAATGTAAAGGTTAAATAAGATAAAAGATGGAAGTTAACTGTAAAAGTGCTTACTGAAGAAAAAGTTATGAAAGGATTCTATGTATTATGAAAGATTTATTACTAAATTAAAACTAAAAATATGTAAAAGTATTTCCAAAACATAAAACATACCCGAAAAGGCAAGTTAAAAAGAGGAAAGTAATCATCACCTTGCCCTGCTGTGAACCCTGCAAACTCTAATCAAGTGGCCTGGCAAGATATGCCACTGGTGCTGCAGGTGGCATGAATGTTAAGTGAGTAACTAACCATTTTCTGATCCGATTTAAAGTCTGCTTCACAAGATGAAGCCCATAACCGATACTGAGATATCAGGCCTGGAACCTGTGGCTAGACAGTTCACAGGATGTGGGGGAGAACCTACCGCTATTATCCTGCTAAATGGGCACAGTATTAAACTGACTCTTAATGATTTGTTAGGCCCATAGATTAATTCATCAGCTCTCACCAGAGAAGCTTCTTCTTGCAGCATGCTGATGGTGATTAATACAGAGACCCACAACTGGTCAACATGCAGAGAGTAAGAGACTGCAAAGTGCTTAGCCCTGAGTGGGACATCTATATCAAACCCTTGCCTCCCAAGGCTCAGTGATCACTGTAGAAGTGGGGGTGGGGCGTTGGAGAGGTATAAGAGCCAGAGGTGGTGAATGACTGCAAGGAAACAGTGTTGTACGGATGGAAAGGTGTTTACTCATACAAACTCACAGCAATAGTGATAGGATGCTCAACCCAGACAAAATCCCAGCATGGAGGCAGGGAGGTGGGCAAGAAGTTCCAACCCTAACTGAAGAACTAACTATTGGTAGCTGATAGCCTCTGCAAGAGGGGAGAAAGAGATAGAGGGAGAGAGATGAGAGAGAGAGAGAGAGAGAGAGAGAGAGAGAGAGAGAGACCTGGTGAACCAATTTTATATAAATGGCAATTTAAACATTTTGAGAGAGAGAGAGAGAGAGAGAGAGAGAGAGAGAGAGAGAGTATGTGTGTTTTCTAAAGAAAACTGGTAGCTTGAGGAGCAGGCTCTAGGGGATGGACTCACACTGGAGGGCATTTGGGGACATAAATTAGACTTGATAGGCTTTAAAATAATAATAATAGAAGATATGAACTCGGGTGGAAGACAGTAAGGGGGTAAAGATAGGGAGGAGGGTCTGAATATGATTAAAATACAGTGCATGAAATTCTCAAAAAGCCAATAAAATATTAAAATTATAATAACCAGTATAATCTGGGCATGGTGGCTGGTACCTGTAATCCCAACACTCAGGAGGCTGAGACAGGAGAATTACAAGTTTGAGGCCAGCCTGGGCTGCATAGTGAGAACTTGTCTCAAAAAAACTTAATAAATAAATAGAAAATTCTAATTTAAAGCACGACCCTTGCCTTACAGGAAAATGAGCTAATTATAGTTGCAAGTCTTCCTTTCTTCCTTTCCCCATCTCCAAACCAAGTTCTAGGCTAGACAAAATTCTCACGACTTCTTTAAAAACAGTAATTACTGTGATTAAGGGCCAAATTTTCTATTGAGTCTTTCACCGGCAAACCAAAAGTGACTATTTGCTAAGTTAAACTCATAATTATACATACAATCCCAAACCAGAAACAGAAATATCTGGATCAAAATAAGTTAGCTGTATGTATAATTTTAGGGGGTTTTGATGAATAAGTCCAAAACATGAAAGTTTGAAACTCTGGAAAAGTTTCTGGCCCTTACATTATAACCATCTGCTAAGCATCAATGACTGACTGACGTTCTTTATAGACCTAGTTAACTCCACTTAAACCAGTCTGAAATAAAAAAGTAAATCGGAGGTTCTTCTACAGAGCACATGGAAATTCCTAAGGCTATCCCTAGTGGCCTCTAAGACATGAGAAAGAACTCTTGGTAGATGAGTTTTTCTAGATAATGGAAAGGAAAAAATAAAACTTGTTGGAGTCACATCGGGATATTCTTCTCAGAGAAAGTCAGGAAGAGATAAGGGTGAAAATGGGAGGGAAGGCCCTTTCATGCTTGATGGAAGCAGAACCTAACGGACTGCACGAGTCAATGAACACAGCTTAGCAAGACAAGCAAGGACAGAAAGACACTGTTTCACTTGAGAGATGACCCCATGAACTTAGACCTCAGAGGAAACACCACAATGAAGCAGCGCTGATAGATGGAGTGTCGTTACTAATAGACAGAGTGCCTTTACTAGCAGAATGACATAGGCCTCGGGATGTGGCACTCTCTTCTCCTTTCGTGTATGTGAACGGCAAGTGCAGCCTGGGCCTTCACAAAACACACTCTCATCAAGCTCTGCTGGGACCAGAGACACAGAAAAGATTTATCTGCTTCTAAATTCCAGCACCAAAATGTCATTTAAACTATCTGACAGAATGTGAAAATGAGGAGAGCTCAGAACTTTCCACATAATGAATCCAGATGACTGGCAAGTTGTGTTTATTTATAAATCTTACTTCAGGGCTTCTAAGCAGGGCTGAAAAACAATATTTTTTAAGTCAATTTGTTAAATCACCTGCTCTGAAATCTTGACACTGTTACCTGGGCTGCTTCCATTTTTGCTTAAGTGGATGCTTGTGTTTTCTTTATTCTCAGTAGCAACTGACTTAATCACATTCTCCTCCTGTACATGTCACAGCAGATCTATAAACTCGAGTAACAGATTTACCGATTTTTCAAATAATGCAGTTAGAGTCAACATGTATTTACAAGGCCAACCAAGATGCTGTCAGTGGGGTTGGCAGTACCTTAAATGCCACCTGGATGATCTCCTCTGTGTTGGCAGGGTTGCACAAGACAGCCAGACCGATGACATACTCTCGGAAGTCGATACTGCCATCATTATTCTGTGAGAGATAGGAGATATCAATTAGGAAGGCCATGAGTTGAACTGCTGTTAATCACAGTGCAAGGTAAAGTTCAAGCACAACATGTAGCTCAGCAGATCATGAGCTGGGCCTTGGTGGAGAAGTTCTCCTTAGGTGAACGAGGGAAGGACAACCCACTCCCCATTCAGAAGACAGAAGACATATTTTTGTTTTTAGCAGTATTCTGATTTTTTTCTTCCTTTACCACTGAACCCTTGTGAAGTGGTTCCCTGCAGCTCAGTGCAGGTTCCTGAGCTCAACATTGGCTTTTTTTGAGCCAGGGACTGGGACTTTAATCCTTAGTGGGAATAAGCATCTATAAGCATTTATTCCACCATGAAAGTGGTCCTGCCAGGATGGCCAACATCAGACCATGACCAAAGGGTCCCGAAGGTTACTGAACAGCCCGCCACATACAGAAAATGGAGGTGAAAGAAAAGAGGGAAACTGAGACACTAGTCAAGGTGCATTAATTTGCAATAAACCAGGAACAACTGAAGCAAACTTGGGCAGAGTTAATAGCCCTTGGAGGACTTCTGGACCACCAGACCCTACATTTCTTTTTTTTAATGTATAGAGTATTCTGCCTATATATGTGTAAGTGCACTATGTGTGTGAACTGCCTGCAAAGGCCAGAAGATGGTATCAGATCCCCTGGAACTGGAGTTACAGACAGTTAACTGTCATGTGGGTGCTGGGAACCAAACCTAGGTTCTCTGCAAGAACAGCCAAATGCTACTAACCACTGAGCCATACGCCCAGCTCTGACCCTGCACTTTAAAGCCAACAAAAAATCAAACACAGCTAGCAGTTCATGATGGAGTTTCACGATGGCAACAGAAAACAAAGGGCTGATAATTCCAACCCAGACTGACCATATACATTAATTACTCACCTGAAGGATGAACATCAAGAGAATGAAAGAGACAGAGAGACAAGAGGAAGACAGGAAAAAGAGATGGCGAGCAGGAGCGAAGGCTGGAGAGAAAACGAGGATGGTAAACAAGCACTGTGATAAGAATCCCAGGTGTGAGAGTCATTTTGGCAGCACAACCTTCAAATGATGAATTTCAAGATAACCCATAAGCCAGCAGCAACAAAGTTAGAGCAGTATTTAATCAGGTTGATTAACCAATGACACTTGGCATCAGTGTCAGTGTGATCTTCAACTATGAGTAATCAGCAGAGGAACTTCAGGAAAGAAGGCTGCTGAGATGGTGTGCAATTTTTGAAAGTATATTTGCCCCACTAGGGAATCAGCCTCTCAATATCCAATCCTATCAATATCCTATCGTACCATAGGGAGGAAATTAAAAGGAATACTAATTTAATTTTATATTCCCATGACAAAAAATAGACTTTAAGATTTCTCCCAAGTATTAGGGTTTATTTCTGAGACAAAACCTCAAGCCATCCAACTTCCATATTTAATTAGAAAATAGTTATTTGTTAAAACAACTTTGCTGTGGTGTCATTTAATCCAGCAGGATGCACCTATTTTAAGTGTATAGTGCTACTGTTCCTAGATACAGGGTAGCCACTACCACAATCAACATCTACATTTCATCACCTTGGAAGTTTCAGAGAAGACAGCATTTTAAGGAACATAATATCCTTTTGTGTCATCGTCATTTAAATTTTGAGGTACTAAAATTGTTTTCAATGAGTCTTAGAGGTTGAGAAGCTTATTAAATTATAGTTAACTTGTTCAATATAGGTAAGTTTCTTATGTAGTTGATTTCACTAAGCAATACAGAGGTCTTGAATAAGTTTGAGGAATTGATCTTAAAATGATGGCTGGACACTAAAGTTACAATAATAGGTTGTCTATGTGTCTGGAAATACCATATTGAATTTATGATGTATCTTTGTTAACATATTACTTTTGGGGGGAGGTCTTATGAGACATGGTCTCCCTGTTGCCCCAGCTGGCCTGGAACTTACCATGTATACCTGGCCAACCTAGATCTGACAGAGATCCACCTGTTGCTGTCTCCCAAGGACTAGGATTAAAGGCATGCCCTACCACACCCTTCCAGAGACATCAATTTTTACTGCACCATCAAATCCTATACAACACAAGTCAAGCATCAAAACTCATTTTGCAGATAGAGAAATGGAAATGTAATGGATCCTTCATATTACCACCAGTCATAGAACAAGGTAACATTCTAGATCCCTAATTTTCATTAATGTATGAGTGCTGAGCATTTTTCAGCAAAGTTTTGTCTAGCACAATTACATTAAGGCAGACTCTTGACTCCATCACATGAAAAAGTATATGTAAGTTTTTATAAAAGAATTAAAAAACCAGCATGGAAATTATTCTATGAGATTATCTTATTGGATTAATAATATACTAATAAGTTTCCTAACTCAGGATAATAAAATTTAAACCTGGAACAAATCTTAGAAACTACTAATGAAGAAACCAAGATCTAAGTTTCATTTCAAGTTAATAAAACTCAATTATTACTGTAACTATAGAAAAAATGTAAGTACTCTGACCAGCAGTAGCTCAAAATAAACAGCTTCATAAAACATATCTTTAGATGGATAAAAAGTTACATAAAATATGCATTCCTTTAATTTTCATATTTTAATCAGTTTTGTGATAAAAATACTGCTTTCCTTAAAACTTCCCCAGGAAGAATCATGCATTTAACAATAGCACCTGGGCTTAAAATTTTATTCCAGAGTCCTGTTTAGAGGAAGAAATAAATCATTCAATGAAAAGTGCTAATCGATTCCTCTATAACTGTGCCAAGTTAGAGCCCACCAACAGTCTAGAGTTGGCACCAAGGATTACACCAAATCACTGCAAAAAGAAATGTGGCCAAGCCTCAGGGAGCTCCAGACCCTGGGCTTCATCCCTTTCCTGGAGGTCAATAGGATAAGAAAAGCAAGTAGTATGGTTGGGGTTACAGGAGTCCAGTCATCCAGAACCTTGTACCTGCTAGGCTGGCTTCCAGGAGCAATGGAAAGTCAAGGACACTTGATTCTATACTAGCATTTAAAATCTCAGGATGAATAACTGACTTGATTCTTAGACATCAGTTCTCCAAGGCTGTTTCACAGATAAATGTATTCAACGTATGTATTCACTTAGAATTACATATTTTTATAAAGTTTCGAGTCTTGCAACATTTAAGGATATGATTTTGAGTATATTCTGCAATGGTGAACGCCCAAAGATAGAAGCTAGTTTTATCTTTTCTCTATTATAATTGATATAATATCATCTCTATAAATGAAAGATAATCAATGCTCTTCAAATAACTTTAAAAAGCTTCACATAAAATATAATTATTTACTAGTAAATAATTATATCAACAAATAAAACAAGTGCTTGAAGTTATTCTGTAATCCAAAGGAGCATTATTATTAAAATATTGTAGATCTCAGTTATCCAAAGTAGTCAAAAAATGTACTGATAACCTGGGTATTCTGATTGAGAGCATATTTCTACCACATACATAAGAATATTATCAATTTTCTGTGATTAAATTATTTTAATATACTTAGCATTACATAAACTCTGTAAAAGTAATTCTTTAAGTTCTTTAAGGTCAACTCACATTAAATACAAGTACCTCGTTGGTGTCTCTAAGCATTTTTTAAGTCCACATTCTGGAAAACTGTGTAACACTATAATAAGATTTCTGACCAAGGATGCTTTGGAAATCAAGTTTTAAAATACTAAAAAATATTTTTAAAGTGACCTTCAAGATGACATATGAATTTTAATATTTTGGGGAAGTTTCTTGCTCTTAGATATAGGGCACAAGTTTTCTTTTCCTGCCTTTTTAAAAAAATAAGTTACACAATTTAGTGGATTTATTTTCAAAGTCATGTGTAGTTTTGAAATGTAAAAAAGTAGATAGTACAATTTTAGTCACTTTTCCTCACTGTCATTCTCAGTTCCTACACTGATAGCATTATTTAATGTTAGAGATCCAGTGATAATGAGATGGATGAATCAAAGAGCTTCTTAGTAGGCTATATGTAGTTGTCCATATAGAAATGCATACTCTTGGGGCAGAGGGGTTGTTGAGGCAGGGTGTCATATAACCCAGGCTGGCCTGGAACTCACTATGTATTCAAGGCTGGCCTTGAACTCCTGATCCCCCTGTCTCTGCTTCCTGAGTGGTAAGATTATATGTTTATGTCACCATGTCCAGCGACATAGGCACATTATTTTAAAAGTTGCCAATTAATACTTTCTCTAACATCAAAGATGTGACTTTAAAACATCCAATATTGAATAAAAACTAAGAAACCCAGTCACTGGTTAAGCTGTTGGTTCTGTGCAATGCCAATGATTTGTCTTATCTAGAATTTGAAGTGGATTTTTCTAGTACCCACACTGATGACTGAAGTTATTTAGGTAGATTATAAAAATATAGATAACCACATACAGAAGAGAAACTTTGGTAGCTTTGTGATGTTTTAGAAGAGACTCATAAAAACAGGTATTCCCTCAACTTGAGGAATGAAGGAATACTTAATACTAGTATGAGATGACAGCCTTAACTTAAGGAAGACATTTATGATGAAATCTGCAGGAAAAATACAAGCTGTACATTGTCCTTTCCACAGCCACGATGTGGAAATCAAGTTATGAAGTTAGAATACTGAGCCCTTAATAGACACCCTGGCAGCTTTCTCCCTTTCCTGGCTGCTCTCCTGCTCCATGTCTGACATATTCTTGGGTTTATTCTAAAATAATGAGGCTGTATTAATGTGTGGTTGCTGGCAGCAGCCTTACACTTCTATGACCACACCTGGTTTAAGTAGCCTATCAGACCATGTTAAATTACAAGTCCCTGGAGAAAGTAGATGTGATCTCTGCGCTTGGCTCAATTCATAATTATGTGTGTGGCATGGCATAAATATTATGTGATGGCGATGGCAGTGATGGTGAACACAGAGACCAAATGCTAACCTCTCCCAACGTCACTGGGGGTTTCTAACAAGAGCCCCAGGACTTGTAACAGGCCAGTGGCATCATTTTTATAGCTAAACTTTCTTCTACACGAGTCAAAAGAGGAAAGAATTTATTTTTGAACTCAGAAGAACACTTCAAAGTAGCCTGGGAAAGAAGGAATACATTTAAAACAGCAGAAGGTGGGGCTGGAGAGATGGCTCAGCGGTTAAGAGCATTGACTGCTCTTGCAGAGGACCTGGGGTCGATTCCCAGCACCCACATGGCAGCTACCAACTGTCTCCAGGGGAATCCAAAGCCCTCTTCTGACCTCCGTGGCATTGCACGATGTGGGTGCACTCACATACATGCAGGTGATACACTTGTACGCATAAAATAAAAATAATAAATAAGCCAGGTATGGTGGTGCATGCCTTTAATTGGAGCACTTGGGAGGCAGAGACAGGCAGATCTCTGTGAGTTCAAGGCCAGCCTGGTCTACATAATGAGTTCCAGGACAGCTGGGGCTACAGGGAGACCCTGTCTCAAAAAGACAAAAATTAAATAAATATAAATTAATTAATTAAATTAAATATTTATAACAGCAGAAGGTGTAGAAACCCACTGAATCCTAGGCAATGGTGAACTGAGACTTGTAGTTCAGCCTCTTGCTATGTCTACTCAGAGATGTGGGGACCCTGGATTTTACTTGCTCAGCTGTAACATCTTGTGTCAAAATAACAAAACCAAATTAGGAGCTATCCACCACAAAAGGCATGATTAACTCAGCTTTGGGGTGTTAGGTTTTCAGTATTCCTATTTTCCCTCCCTGGGATCGGGCAGCACTGACTTTAACTTGGCCTCAGTTCTGAAGACAGGATAAGAAATCTGAAAAACACTGGGGGGAGGTCCAAATCAGTGTCAGCTTGGCTGCTCATTCGAACGGCCAGGGGAGCTTAAAGAAGAGAAAGGTTCTGAGGAGACTTCATTTTTCTGGAGTGGGATCCAGATACTAGTATTCCTCCAGAATTCTCCCTGCGACGCTAACCTGCAGTCAGAGCCTTGCACGGAGGCAATACAAGTCAGCAATATTTGTTGTCTAATGTTGCGTTATATTTCATTTAACTGATTGCTAATTACGTGAGGTATTTTTTGTTCTTTTTCCTTTGCTTCTTTTTTTGATATGCTTCCAGTTTCCAAAGATAAGCAAAAGAATTTTCTTTGTTCTAAGGTAGGGCAAGACAGGACAAGGGCTGGCTAACATCACCTGGGCATGCCTGATTTTGTAGGAAGTAAACCTAAGGGTGAGCATTTTGATTCATTAAGATGGCCAGAGACATGCTGAACAACGGTAACCCTTTGTAACCCTCAATGTCCCTCACTTTCTTTACAAATCTATCAAAACAAACTGCCATGTGTTTCTTTTACTAGAAAACAGATGAAGAATTCTAGATTTATAGATAGTTGCCCTATCATTTTAAAAAATGCTACCCCTACATAAAATTGGATTAGACATTTTAAAATTCTATAAAAATAGATTCCCTAGAAAACACTTTTTAAAACATAATATAAAGACCAGATGTGAAATTATGAGCAAAACAGATTTTAAACTTCCCTCCTCATCTTTTTAAAGGGAAAAAATATGTATCTCTTGAGTGCTTGATTTATTCCAGGATTTAAAACATGCAAATTCATTCACCAATAAGTAGCCACCTTTTAAAGTTTAAAGTCAATCCTGCACCTCCCCATCACATAGATATGCCTCTATATATCAAGTCTCTCAAAAAGCTGATATACAAACCACTCAGAACACTTTTCACCCAAAATTAGTTTTAATGAAGCACTGCAGTGTAGAATACCGTGAGAAATATGTAGCACTGTAAAACAGCCTGCCAAGAAATGGCAGCTGTTGGATGGGGCATCAAACGTAGACAGCACAACAAAGCTTTGGGCAGTCCTGTCTTCCAGGGAAGGTCTCTGCCCACTTCAGGAATACATGGTCAGCTGCAGCCATTCCTGGATAGACACTTGAATCTGGCCATCTGCATCTCTATCCAAGGACTTGAAAGCACGAAACATAGCATCCAGGCGGACCAGGCAGCTGATGAAATTGTTGAAATCCATACTTCCATCCTCCTCAGCATACCGGCGAAGAATCATCTGGTAAAGCTGCTCATTCAGCTGGAAGCCTGCTGCTTGCAGAGCCCCCTGCAACTGGGAGCGTCCCAGAGAACCAGAATGGTCCCTGTCATACTGCTTAAACACACATTGCCATTTCTTGATGTTGTTCCACAGGTACTTGAACTCCTCGAAGCCCAGCTTCCCTGTGGTGTCATTGTCCATGACTGATACGATGCTCCGGCAGGTGTCGAGGCTGAAGCCATTGGTCTTCAAATCCTTGTGTTTAGCGAGGACTTTGTTGAGAATATTCATCAGGTCAGTGGCACCCACCTCCATGTCTGGTCCGGCCAGCTGTGCGAACTGCTGCCGAAACCGCCTGACTTCCTCACTTTCGGAGGCCTCCACATTGGTGAAATGCTGCTGGGTGGGAGGCGGCTCTGGAGTATACTGAGCTGCTGCAGCCTCGCTGATAAAATTGACAATTCCTCCGACTATCCCTCCGATATTTCCTCCTCCTCCTCCTCTTCTCTGACCACCTCCTCCAATAAGTCCTCCAAGAGCTTCTCCAAGACCTCGATCCGCCCCTTCCAGAATAGCCTTTGCAAGGAACATGCTTTCAGCTTAACAAGCAAATGTAAAGCTGCGGGAATCTTGGAGATGGTATGGAGAGAGCTGCGATGGAGCTGCAGCGGCTGATGTGGAAGAACTGGCTTTTCTGTACCTACTACACTGTACCACACCCAGGATGAGATGGTTCATCTCCAACTGAAGTTGCCCGAGTTCCACTTGGTCCTAGCACCTGCCAGATTTTCATGAGCCTAATAAAATTGTTTTCCATTCCTCTAGATATCCCTATAGTATTGTGACACAGTAGAATACTATTTCAAATATAAAATAGAAAACTATGTATTTCTCCAGCAATACTTTCTTAGGTTTTTTTTTTCCTTAGCATCTGAAATATGACAGGAATTTTCCTAAGGTGAGTGACTCAAGGAAATCACCACCTTCTTTTCTAAGGAACATCTATTGTAATGGTAGATATGAAGAGTTTTGGGGTATCTGAAATAGATAGTCCACCTTCCTCTAGTAAAGATTCTCAGAATCCGATTCTTCGTAAAATTTCATTTATTTAGCTCTTATCTGTGGAGCCGTGTTTAGCTCTCCGATCCAATTCTTAAGAAAACCTTGGAAGGGGGATCTTTTTAAACACAAGATCCCCTCAGTGGTTCTGATTCAGGACGTCTGCTACAGGCTTCACGATAGTTTTGGAATCTTTTTGAAATGTAACATATGGAAAAATATACAAATTGTACCCAGGCCACCCCCTGCTGTGGTATCCAGGCCACCCTTCTGCTGTGGTACCCAGGCCACCCCCTGCTGTGGTACCCAGGCCAAGAAAAGGTATCAACAGAACTTCCCTGGGAGCCTCCCATACTTTTTTTTGAAACATTTGAAATCATTGAGAAAACTGTTGTTGTGAGGCTTTTCTCATATTTTCATCTTCGAGGTTATAATGTCCTCACTTAGGTTTAAACCTTTGATCCATTTGAGTTAATTTTTATATGATGTAAGGGAAATAAACGTTCAACTCTATTCTTTTGCATGTGACTATCCCAGTTTTGTCAGTACCATAAGCTGAAAAGATCATCCTTTCCTATTGAGTAATTTTTGTGTCCTTATTGAAAATCATTTGACCATCCATACAAGGGATTACTTCCAGGGCATCTAATCTATTCCTTCAGTTTATGTGTCTGGCTTTATGCTAGCACCACTCTATTTTGATTACTATGTGTAATAGTTAACTATCATGGTTCCATGTTAATTTTAGGACTGAGTTTTCTATTTCTGTAAAAAAAGTTGGCATTTTGATAAGGATTTGTACTGAATCTGTGGACAACTATGAATAGTATTTCCATCTTAACAACACTGTCTTGTGATCAATGATCATGAAACATCCTTCCATGTATTTGTGTGTGTGTGTTTTTTAACAGTGCTTTATAGTTTTCAGTGTACAAGTCTTTAGTTTCCCTCATTACATTTATTCCTAAATATTTTATTCTTTTTGATGTTACTGTAATAGAAATTTTTCTTAATTTCCTTTTCAAATTGTTGATATATAGAAATACAACTGATTCTGTGTGTTGATTTTATATCCTGCAGTATTAATTCATTTCCTAGTTCTAAGAATTCCTTTGTGAGATGACTATCTGTAGAATCTGTAGGCTTTCATATAAATACAAATGTGTCTTCTGTAAACAAGGCTAATCTTAGGTCTTCCTTTCTCATTCACATACATGTTATCTTTAAACATACCATTTGCCTCCACAAGGTATTAGGATAATTTATTTTTTATTTATTCTGTGTTTAATATGTGAGTGAAGGTGCATGCATGCCATGGTGCACATGTGGAGACAGAGACAACTTTTGGGACTCACTTCCCTTCTTCAGTCACGAGTTCTAGAGATCAAACTCACATCATCAGGCTTGTGTGACAAAGGCTTTTGCCTGCTGAGACATCGCTGGCCCAGTTGCTATTCTTTTTTCTGGTCTAACTGTTCTGGTTAGGGTTCCTATCACCGCAGAAGCAGTGACAGTAGACAACCTAGTCTTGTTCCTTATCTTAGAGGAAAAGCTTTCAGTCTTCCACTATTCAGTATGAGGTCTTCCTTACCCACGTAGGAGATAGTACCCAAAAAAGTCCCCCAAAAGACTGCCTTCCTTTAGAGGAATTACAGGGTCCTTGGAGTCTTACACAGATTTAAACCCATTCACATAAATCACACTATTAGCAATACTGACAATTAGTTTGATAGCAGCTACTACCACATTCAACGTGCCTCCTTAGACTCATCTAAAATGTAGGTTTTTGTTTTTGTTTGCTACATTTTAAATTCCTCTCATTTAGTTTCTGTGAAGAAGAAGAAGGGTATTTGGCTAACAGTTTCTCATAAGTCCTCAGAGAATAAAGACTGTTATTAGGTTAGTAAGTTTTTTTATTGGCCCATTTAATCCTTTACAGTTATTTATTAAAACATTAATAACAACCTAAGTTGCTACCTGGGAGAGAACACTACTGTTGAGACCTGGGGAAAAGGCTAGAATAAGCCATACCTAATAGGAAATTTAGCCCCAAATTGGGAGGAAGAGTTATTGAACTTAAAAGATAAACAATGATACATGGATGTTATTAGCAATATTATTCCTAATAGCCCAAATTAGAAACAACCTAAACGTCTGCCACCTGGTAAATGGATAAACAAAATTTAATCTAGCTATTTAGAAACATACTATTCAGCAACAAATGGAGTAAATTACTGATGCATGCTTCATGGACAAACCTCGAAACATACTAAGAAGACAGACATAAGGAATCATCTGTTGTAACATTCCATTTATGTGAAATGTCTAAGAAAGCAAATATATAAAGATAAAGACAATGCAGATTAGTGGTGATCTAGGGTCTAGGAGATCAGTATGTGACAGGAATTTATAGTCAGTGTCACAGGACTCATATGAGGTTGATGGACATGTTCTAAAACTGACGGTGGTGGTCGTACAACTTGGCAAATACACCGGAAAAAAGCACACTGGATTGAATAACTGAAATAAGTGAATTACAGGCTATGCAAAATATGTCTGGAGAAAGGTTTTTTTTAATCAACAGTGTAAAATAGTAAAAAGAATACCAAACTAGGAATTTCAGTCTCAGTCCTGCAGTTGGCCAGTTTTGTGGCCATGAACATTTAACTTCCTCCCTTCTCCTAGCAGCAGACTGTAAAGAGAACGGCAATTTGATACCAAAGGTCTCTTGGGTTCTTCAGTTTAGAGCATCTAGATTTTCATGTGTCACTAAACAGCAACAGCAGCAGCATCCTTACTGAGTTGTTTCCTTCTGGAATCTGCACCTCTTTATGCTATGTATAAATTTAATTATCTGTATCTTGAGTCTGGTTCCATGAATCTTAAAGACATGCTTACTTACTCCTAACCCTATGTTTACATACTGTCTCATTTTCAAAGTATTCCCGATTGCAACATATTAAGCACGTTACTCCTATAAACAGCATTTCAAGGTTGGGGATGGACCTGGTGGTCTAGACTAGCTCAGAAGATCTCATGGCTCCCATTCCAGGTAGTCTTTCTGTAAGTGGGCTTTTATCTTCTCCGCATGATGTGGAGCAGATCTTAATTTGTCGATAATTTGTTGATAAGAATGTCGTGTTGGCCAAAATCAGAAGCCTTTCTAGAGCCCATGTGGCTAGTATCACTTTTCCTGTCACTTTGGGCTTCACTGTTATGGGAACAAAGCTCGGTTCTTTCCCTCCTTAAGCTCTCAGAGGAGGCCAGCACTTGCTCACTTGCTGCAGGGAAGAAGTTTGAATTGGTACGGTCTGCCGTCTGTTTCCTCTATTTACCTCCAGGTACCCGTGCACTAAGAAGTTAAAAGTAAAGCATATAATTCTTAAGCCTAGATAGATATTTTTCATATAATAACACTGATAGACAAGTGAGACAGGTAAGTCAACCTAAGACCTAAAGAAAGAAATGCTCACATATGCAGGACTGCTAAACTTTTTAGGACAACTGACTAGAAAAGGTCACCTATTCTACCCAGAAAGTTTTAGCCTTTCTTTTCAAATAGTATCATAAAAATTATGAAGTGAATTTCACGGAGAAAAATCCTAGCTAGCTGGATTGAACCTAAGATAAGTTTTTCTCATATGAACTACAAAACACTATATTATTTAATCAAAACCAAACTGGGAATTTAAAGGACAGGAAATTTCAAAGTTTCTCTACAACCATTTAAGACACCTTAGTGTCCTTTCATAACTTTCTTGAGGCGCAGAAGAACTTCTGCAAGATAGCACCTTGTCTCCCTCAACAGGAAGGGGCAAGCAAAGATGTTTGTTATTCTTGGCACTCGAGATTTATACTTGAACTCATACCAAGAACAGGTCAGACAGGAAGAACTTGGAATAAAGAAACACATTCATTCCACACAATGAAACAGCAATAAGAGATCTACAGAGATTTACAATAGCCAAAAAGGCTGGACTGCCAAAGTGCTAAAAGTATACACAAACTTTTCCTATGTAATATTCAAACAAAGGACATAGTACTGCCAGGAGAATTCAGTACTAAATAGTAGAAATGGAAAAATCATACTTATTATTTTTACAGACTGGAATTACTAACCACCTAAAACTTATTAGGCATGGGTCTAAGTACAAAATTGTATTGATCTATAATAAAAGAGACTGAGCTTATGTCAAACAAAAGCTGAAAAGTTGGAAACCTCTCATTCTTTTCCTCTTCTCTGTGAAGATGATCGATACACCTCTACATAAAACTGTGGGAGGGTATTAACAGAGGCAGATAGAATAGCCAAGAGCAAAGATTCATAGTGATCTGGTTTAAATCAGACACAAATCAGCAATGGCCGCTACGAATAATGACTGCTGTCCTTCAATCCAGCGTGCTTTTCTTCATCAGCTTACGGAACATACCACAGTGCAATGTACTCTATATTGCTAAGCTGTCATGTCTTTTCGAAGCTCACTCAGAAGCTGGCTCTGGAAGGGAGGTTAGTCCCTCCACTTCAGACCCAA